TGTATTAGGCAAGCTCACGTATTTTAAGTCGGCGCGGCTCTATGATGATTTTTGATACAAAATTGAAAGAGGGTGTCCATATTGCAGGTGACTATCTATAACTAAAGTTGTTAATCTGCTTGTCTTTTTCATAGTTATGCGTTAAGTGTTATTTTATTACCGTAATCAGAGATCGGCATTATAGTGGTATTAACGAGCATCTTTAAAAAGATTATAACGCATTTAAATGTTTCTAACATGGAAAAGTAACGTTTTAATACCAAACTAGCTTCTTTTCCCTATCATAATACCAAACTAAATTATTTTCCTATTCATATAGAACATTTGTGTGTGTTATTTTCATAATGCATTTATTCTGAAGTAAACATAAAATACAAGAAAATATTTCCTTTAATATATAAACAAAACAGTTCAGTATGTTTTTGAATGAAAAAATAATTGTCTTTTCTTGATACATTGAAATGTCAGACATCATCGTTTCCTGCAATCAGTGTACTTCTACATTATAAAAAGAAATACAGTAACGTCTCAAGCCTTTTGGAACAATATGCACTAGAAAATCTCTCAAAAGTAGAAAATTGGTCGATAACACGTATAGTACCTTTGGAAAATATTATATGAAAGATTGGTTCAGCTTAAAGTGGTGTAAGTCATGTAGGGGGTTTTGTTTGCTCAAGATATAGCCTAGTCGAAATTGCAAATCACCTTCCTCTAGGACTTTCCGAAGCAGGCATAATAGTATTGATATGTTATAGTAACTGGGTAGAGAATATTAATAAACATTCCACATCTGCAAATGAAATATGTATATGAAAGATTGGTTCAGCTAAAAGTGGTGCAAGCCATGTAGGTGGTTTTGTCTGATCAAGATATAGCCTAGTCGAAATTGCAAATCATCTTCCTCTAGGACTTTCCAAAGCAGGCATAATAGTATTGATATGATATAGTAACTGGGTAGAGAATATCAATAAACATTCCACATCTGCAATTGCATGTTTAGTAATTAAAATATTTAACACTTTTTTACAATTGACGATTATGCACTGTCACTTGAACCACACGCGCCGACTTGAAATACGTGAGCTTGCCTAATACAAAAGTTTACTTTATTGAAATTATTTCATTCTTTTTAGAGCGTTTGAAGTCGGTTGTATTTTTTTACAAAAATAAATTATTTCATGATTTTTAGTGACTGTACAATTTTTTATATATTAATTACTTGAGGTTTTTTGATAAGCAAAAATGGTTGAAACAATCAAAAGTTCCACAGAACAATCATTATTTTAAAACTGCCTGAGTCACCTGTTCAGGTTACATAATCAAAGGGTATGAAAATAAACATTTTTAGATATTCCTTAAGAAAGAAAGAGTTGTCCATTACATTAGGCCTAATGAAAAAATAATTGTCTTTTCTTGATACATTGAAATGTCAGACATCATCGTTTCCTGCAATCAGTGTACTTCTACATTATAAAAAGAAATACAGCAACGTCTCAAGCCTTTTGGAACAATATGCACTAGAAAATCTCTCAAAAGTAGAAAATTGGTCGATAACACGTATAGTACCTTTCGAAAATATTATATGAAAGATTGGTTCAGCTAAAAGTGGTGTAAGTCATGTAGGGGGTTTGTTTGCTCAAGATATAGACTAGTCGAAATTGCAAATCACCTTCCTCTAGGACTTTCCGAAGCAGGCATAATAGTATTGATATGTTATAGTAACTGGGTAGAGAATATTAATAAACATTCCACATCTGCAAATGAAATATGTATATGAAAGATTGGTTCAGCTAAAAGTGGTGCAAGCCATGTAGGTGGTTTTGTCTGATCAAGATATATCCTAGTCGAAATTGCAAATCATCTTCCTCTAGGACTTTCCGAAGCAGGCATAATAGTATTGATATGATATAGTAACTGGGTAGAGAATATCAATAAACATTCCACATCTGGAAATTGCATGTTTAGTAATTAAAATATTTAACACTTTTTTACAATTGACGATTATGCACTGTCACACTTCTTAGGTCGTGTAAGGAATAATTGCATTTAATTTATATTTAGACCTGTTTTACGAATGCTTTGGTTTTCACAATACACCTTTATTTGTCAATATCATACAGCTATTCACTGAAACATATATGTTTTTTTAAGTCAGAATATTCAATACTAAAAACAGAATTTACTGTATACACAAATCAGATTTAAACGTTAAAATACATTTTTTATAGTAACCAAAACAAAATGCATGGCAAGAAATAGTTTATTGATCAATATGAAGCAACTGTTTCATGAAGAACTGTCTCTAGCTTCATTTAAATGGTTTCAACTAACAGCTGTAGGAATGTTATCATTATTTATTGCCTTCTCTGCACAAATGTAAACAATCTGCAAAAATGTAAACAAAATAAATAGTGAATATTTAAGGTTTTCAGAATTTTTCACCGAAACAAATATTATACTTAAACATAATATATAAGGTACCAAATAGAAACTCTCCTGGTTATTTTGGTGGTGGAACCACACTGATCGGTAAAAGAATCACAGAGAAATTGGTGAACATACATAGAAAAAAAAAACATCGCCACAAACAAATTGAGAACCTCCTCCTTTTTTGGTAGTGGGGAAGTCGGTTAAAAAGACATTGCTTTACCTTTTAACCATAGTGTTATGTTACTCTTGTTCTATGAATAACACTTTTCAATGTCAAGAAATCGTCCTTTGTCATTATGCATAGGTCAAATTGTGCTTCAACAAACGTTGGTGTAGAAAACAGTATTCAGCAACCTATCCTGAAATCTTCTTTTTAATTTAAACACGTTGAAAAATTTTAAAGTAAAAATAACATCTAGGCCTACACGGCTTTTTAACGAGTTAGCTATAGTAGGCTTGTTCTTACAAGGACTAAACACTAAACAGATATATTCCTATTAATTGAACTTGTTATTCATATTAATCCAATAGAATAGCCTAGGAATTCTTGACAAGAGCTGTTAGCAGGAGCAATCTATGGTATTTTTTACATGGTACAATGTAAGTTTCATGTTAGGCTATATGGAGATTTTTTCGTTACAATTGTTATGTAGTCTAGGTATTTCTTAAATATCATCAGCTAATTTCCTCTTAGTTAACTTAGTAAACCTTTGAAAAATCTCCGTAATGCAACCAAGGAAGGGCTTGTGATCATGAACCACAATCAACAGCTGAAGCAAAGGTTGATAGAGCTTTCTCATTATTTTAAGGTTTAGTGATGGTTTCCATTAAAACCCAAGTTGAAACTATCGATTAATAAAGAAACTAAATTGAAAACTATATAATTTCCCTGTCAATCACTTGCAAGCATTCAATAGCTTCTCTTGTCACCGGTTAAAGTTTAAACATCGTCTGCATCTAGCGATTTTATTTTATCTGACAGTAATCATAGAGTAGCAAATGAAGGAAATGAGAGCCAAAAATGGGAATAACACTCAGATAATGGCCTCTATGACCACGCAACGTTGTAATAGACTGCGACCAATTGTATGAAGCCAAGAAAGTGGGCCTAATTTTCTTTAAAATCTCAGTTTGAAAGAGGTTGTTCCACGTAAGGTTGTGATAAAAATCACTATCTCAATTAATGTTAATGTGGCGAGAAAAATAGCTAGAATTCCGCTACAACTACTTTAAAAATGTAGCTAGCTACAGCTACAAAATCTTAAAAGTAACTTAGCGTAGCTAAAAAATGTAGCGCGCTACTGTAGCGCACTACTTCCCAACACTGCATATAACTTTTTACAACACAAACCAACACTGTAGAGTTTTCAATATTTTCGGTTCTCCGTTTGATATTAGCCTATATTTCGCCCCAAAAACTTATAAAGACAAAATATTTTCCTAACATGTTACGCCTATACATTTCTATGTAGGGAATTAGATTGTCTACAAAATGTAGGCTACATAAATTTCCAATAGGCAATAAATCTGTAGAAAAAATTTTACCGAGGCTGCTTAAAAAATAAAAAAAAATCCTTTTGAAAAAAAATCCAGCAATGGATTTTTTTGAGTGGAGCACTACTTTTTGCCAACTTTACCCCCCCCCCCCCCAACTTACCCCCGAGGTACGAATATTGATAGGCTACTGTCGTGTCCGTAAAGGTGTCCTCTATCTCGTGACACTCTCGGTAATAACCTACGCGGCTGTATTTTTCCGTAAAATGGCCAGCAAAAGATTTTATCGACTTATTGCTGACATTAACCCCCCAGGTACATGATATTGATACTGTCATGTCCGTTAATGTGTCCTCTATCTGTTGACACTCTTGGTAATAACCTACGAGGCCGTATTTTTCCGCTAAACGGCCAGCAATAGATTTTATTGACTTATTGCTGACTTTACCCCCCCCCCCTAACATACCCCTCAGGTACTTGATATCAATACTGTCGTGTCTGTTAATATGTCCTCTATCAGCTGACACTCGGTAATAACCTACGCGGCCGTAGTTTTCCGCAAAACGGCCAGCAATAGATTTTATCGGGCGCGCACATTACTTATTGCTGGAGTTATTGCCAGGTTCACATCAACCTCTGATCGTGGTGTAGGCCTCATTTGGAATTGTTTTTATTTTCATTTCTTACAATTAATAGCCTCACTTACCTACATCATGCTTTTATGAGAGGTATGCGGAAAATCCAAAAACTACAAAGGTAAAACTTCCCTCACCTGGAATCCTATTTTTTTTTAAGTTTTAAAATGTATAACTTACATTGATATGCTAACTAGCTAAAAAAATGTTACATCTTTATACAACTTGTTCTAAATTATGATACTAGTATAGCCTATAGGGCCAACTGGGCCCTGACTTGGAGTAAAATTGAATCCTTAAATGCCCTTCAGGTGGATGGTGTTCACGTTCACAGTTAGTCTTATTTCACTAGGCTCATTTGTTTTATTCAAATGGGATTGCATAGGTAAGGTTGCCAAATTAATACAAAACACAAAAGTATTCCTAGAACACAGTACTTACAAAGTTGTATAACAGCTAGATCTAAAAAGAATTAATCAGTTCTCGAGGTATTGCAATTGCCATGTAAGTGAATGAAGAGTTGCGTAACTAAGTCCCAAAATAAAAAAAATTAGCAACTCCCGGCTCCCGCAAGGAATTAATGACAGAATCGCCAAACTAGTAAACTAAAAGTGCAGGTGGAGGTGCGCTTGCTTGCTTACCTTCTTGCTTTATTATTTTGATAACTTTGACGAGAGTAGTTTATGAACTAGGCTACACAGTTGACTCTACCAACACCTCAAAGTAACACAACACAACCACAACAACAACACACTTAGGGATGTTGCGATACTATCGATACCAGTAGGTATCGATACTTTTATTGCGATACCGCTGGTATCGTATCGGTATCGGTTGTTCCGATATTTACTTGGTATCAATACCAAGAGGCCAGTATCGTATCGTAAGTATCGGAAGGTAATTTCTGACAAATCTGAGTAAAATGGCCACGCTCGTGCCTTCTGAGCGGGTATTTTCCAAGGCTGGAGCAACAGTGACCCAAAAAAGAAACAAACTTTAACCCAATTAATTTTTTTTTATCTAGCTTGTCTGATATGTGGTTTGAGTAAATAAATTATGATTCACTATTCATTCATAGCATAGCACTTTACATAACTATAAGTAAAACCATTGACTATAGATACCTACAGACGTATATTTAGTCAAGAATACAACTTAAGGGTTTGGGTGCAGAGTTTTTTTTATTACAAGTCAATGTTAGCAACGTTGTGTTAGGCAAATAAAATGAAACCGTCGACTATTTAACATCAAATAAATAAACTAAAAAGATGGCACTTAAAGTTTAACAAAATAAACGTTTTTTTATTTAGGCTATTGGTAAACACGAATAGGCTATGTTACGTTGGTAATTTAAACATTGTCTATTGAAAAGATAAATTATATAGGCCTAGAACATAAGGTAAGATTAGGCCTACTTGAACGTTTACTTGAAGGTAAAATTGAAAACAAAGGTTAGCTATGTTTGGTTAATTTTATCGTTTTAATATTTCGGTAGTGTTTAGCAGCTTGAATTCGAATCCTATATTGGCTGCACTGTACTGGAATCAGAATATGACGTCACTGGTATCGAATGGATACGATACTGACGGTATCGATACTTTAGTTCCGATACTGAGCCGGTATCGATACTTTTTTGCGATACGGTATCGATACCAAATATCGGATAGACAGTGGTATCGCAACATCCCTAAACACACTTAAACAAAACAACTGACTTCTTCCTTCACTGATAAGATGAAGAAGAAGAAGTGGACAGACGACATCGCAAATATTAGACTGTGATCATTGATTATTAGGCTCCACCACTGTAATAACATATACCTAAGGGAGTATGTTTTATCTATGCATATACCTAGGCCTACTGTAATTCTATTTTGAATTTCCTTCTAGATCCGCTTTAAAAATTAGAGAGTTTTAATATATATGAGGTTACATTACCTTAATAGCCAAGTGATCCATGTAGTCCAAATCTAGGATTACGTACGTTTCGACGTCAATGCTTCAAAACTTTTTTAAACCATAAGGGTCACGTCATAGTCTTTCCGACACACACAAACGAAACAATAACGGACAACGCATTGACGTCGAAACGTACGTAATCCTAGATTTGGACTACATGGATCACTTGGCGATTAAGGTAATGTAACCTCATATATATTATATCTCAGTGATTCAGAAAAACAACATACAACATAGAGAGTTTTGATCAGGGGTTTCAGATTTTTGGTTTGATTAAGTAAGAAATAAAGCCAAAGGCTATAGCAAAAAAATGGCAAACAAATCAAACAAAGGCCCAACGATTATTTCCTTTGTAGGACCAACAAATACAAGTTTCCGTTGGGCCAACGTTGGCAAGGAGTTAAAATTTCCTCCAACCGTTTCCCAGCCGTGCAACCATTTCCCAACCGTGCCGACCATTTCCCTAAGTTTGGCCAACAATGTGTGCTACTTGAGTATGCATTTAAGTACATACCCCTAGAGGAACCGTTTTGCTTATTTTAACCCAATAAACCATTATGAAGTTTAGTGACGGACTTTACACCCCAGACACCCGACACCCTGTATTGTAACAATTGACAGTGGCATATGACAACAATTTCTACAATGATGATAGCTGATAAAAAATCTCCTAAAGTGCACAGTAAAATGTTACAATAGTAGGTTTGTTTATGCCAATGGTGCAAAATTAGTTTGTTAACTACTAACATGATATTGTGTTGCCGATATTTATTGAATATTTCATCAATATTTAAACTAAAGTTGATAACAACATTTTTCTATAGATATTGTTCAATATTGGAAAGGAATTAAAACAATATTGTTTGAATATTACCTTAACAATTTTGTTTTACAATATTGAACAATATTGGAAACATATTTAAACAATATTGTTTTAATATTGAAGAAATCAACATTGTTGTAAATATTGGACAGAATTGTTTCAATATTGGACAAAATTGTTTCAAAATAGTGTAAATATTTTTTTGCTACTAGGGTGGGATGAAATCACCCTTTTTCTTCAAGGCCATGCTATCCCTCTTGAAGAGCGAATCACATCGGGAATTACTTGACACAAAACTAATGTATAGCACAGTGTTTCAAGTACTTAAATATATTGAAAAAATTGTCCCGTGGGTATAAAGGAGCTCACCCATCCCTTATTTTACAAATATATGAAGGTCTTAGACCTCAGCTTGAATATGCAAACTTTCTATTTGGACACATGTAGCTACAAATACATTAAATAAGCTTGACTTAATCCAAAACCAATCACTACTGAGGATCGCAATTAAAGCATACAAAACTACTGTACTCCAATCATAGCCCTCTTAGCCCTTAACTCTGATACCGCATCAATTCCTCCAAGCATTAGAAGGAAAATGATAACAGAAAGATTAACATACAAAATACTGACTGGTTATACGACCATCTAGCGTTTCAGCACATTATGTATTTGCACACTATGGTTGTTAATCTACGATGTTGGGTGCGCAAAAAACACTATAATATGTATAAACTACTGACTTAATAATAAACATATGATACCCAACCTCTTCTATATCTCTGATAACATATAGACATCAATAGCCTAAGCAAGCCATTAGTTATGCTACATTGAAAATGGAGAAATTGAAGAGCAAACGAAAAACATCAACATTAATATGTCGAAACACCAACATTTAAAACAATTGCCTATAAGAACTACAGTACATCCAAATTTTTACAGATGGCTCAAAAACTACCCATGGAACTGGTGCTATTCCCATAAAATAAGTTGACAGAGTATGACTAAGCATATAGCGCAGAACTATAAACATATACCACACAAACATATATATATACACTATATACAAAGGCATCACATTTTGTGAAAATTCTCTCAAAAATAAAGAAATCATTGTTATTTTTTCAAATTCACAATCTGCAATAAAATCTGTCAAAGTTTAAGCATTCAAATGAAGTTGTCGACAAAATGTTATCTGAATTAGACAAAAGCTCGAAGTTCTATGCACTTCATTGGGTTCCAGGACATTATTCAGACATTGCTATCAATGAAATAGCTGACAGATTAGCAAGAGAAGCTATATTAGTGATGGAGAAGTTGTAGACATACTGTACACATCCCCTTCTCAGACTACAACAAATAGAGAATTCTACAATGATGTAATTACAAACTCAACAGGATGGAAATAACGAATAAATGCAAACTTAGATTAGGCCATGCCAGAATGAATAAGTCATCTCCATTCTATAAGAACATGTTCTTTATCTTTACCCCACTTTGCTTGAAATGCACTCAAGGAGAAGATGAATCATTGCAGCATCTATTTTGGTACTGCCCAAATTATAATTATTTCAGAGAAAAACATCTTAAAGGAAAAGAAACATAGGTATAGAAAGTATAGAAACAACCTACAGTACAAGAAGCCCTGAAATCTGGAAATGATCATATTAACAAGGAAATAAACAATTATTTGAAGGAAATAGGAAAACAAATTTAGAAGAACAAAGAAACAAACACAATTAGAATCACATTTATGTTGTCCAGTCTTGGGTTTCTTAATCCGTGGCCCTCCTCCCCTATTCTGGGTAGTTGAAGGTGTGCCTGATGGGCCCCTGGCAAAGAAGATCACCTATCTCTGCCATCCTAAAGAATCCCTTGAACCTTTAGATAATCCTATCTTTAATACATAATTAGGTACATTAACACAAACTAGAACAATATCAACATGAAACATTGACTGTGCACATTTATGTTTAATAAAAAATCTTTGTAAACTAACAAAAATAACCTTAATTGCAGGATGAATTGGAAGTAAAAAGCAACCACAACTCGGTGTACATCGAGGCTTCCTGGTCTAAACCTAAGCCACCGTCGTGAAGTTAGCGGCTCTTTTCATCGGCGCTTTTTCGGTTTGTAATAGATGTGGGTTGGTACGCCTGCGGACGCCACAAAAGTGTTTTGCAGGGATGTCGGAAACACAAATCAATGACAATACGATGCGAAATGATGTTTTTATATTTATATAATGTCAATAATACATTGATAAAACGTGTATACAAGTTAAAACTAATTAATTGACGTATTTTAAAAGGCATATTTGAGACCGTACTGTACATTATACGTAGCTAAGGCTTAACATAACGCGAACAATTAAAACTCCGAACATAAAAAGTGCATAATCTTTTTTCCCAAGCCCATCACATCAACTTTGAGCTATTCTAATGGTAATACACAATGTGTAGAATACTCAGTATAAATATGATTGAGGCAGTCCAGTGAATTACGAAGCTATAAGGCAAAATCTATATGGTTGATAGGAACTCGCATAAGGAAAAAGTGCACAATCTTTTTCCTAAGCCCATCACATCAACTTTGATGTATTCTAATGGTAATATACAATGTGTAGAATACTCAGTATACATATGATTGAGGCAGTCCAGTGAATTACGAAGCTATATGGCAAAATGTATATGGTTGATAGGAACTCGCATCAGGAAAAGTGCACAATCATTTTCCTAAGCCCATCACATCAACTTTGATGTATTCTATTGGTAATATACAATATGTAGAATAC